AATTTACACATTCCAAAATCATCATCAACTGCAAGCAAAATTCTTTTGTCATTTGTCATTGCCATCTATACTTCATATTTAGCCATATTTAGGCATTTTTATTTTGGTTAAACATTTATATGCATGTTCGTCAGTATCTTGAGTTCTTTCTTATTGTTCAAAAGTAAAAAAATGGAGTTGTCCGTTGAAATGTAAAATAAAATAAATAAAATAAAATATGGATAAATATTGGTATTTAAATTTGGTATAACCTCTAAATATGGTGTGTATTCTAATCTTATCTTAGTTTAAACAATAATAATAACGAGGACAGAGGTATAATATAGTTTTATTATAGTAACTTATTTAAAGAAATAAATCAAGTCTTTACATTTTTAAAGACATGACGCGATCTATCTGACATTGTCAGTCAAGGATCAAGAATACAAGTATAAGTAAGTAAGTAAGTATTTTAAAGTACAAGGTTTAATGTTAATGGTACATAAATGGTTAAAATAAGGTTACAAAAATTGTTCAGGAGTGGGGATTCGTGCTGGCTGAATCAAAAGATTTCGTTGATGCCTAATTTAAATTTTCAATAAGTATGGTAAGTTATAAATTTAATAATCTTTTAAAAACAATAAATGGGAAGGATTTTGATTTTGATGAATGGAGGTAGGCCTAAGTTGGGTCCAAATGGATGCTTGAGGAGTCTATAGTCTGAGTTAATAAATTACTAAATGGAATGTTTTCACCAATCTTCTGTAATAATAATTTTCTTCTTAATAATGTAGGCGAGTGAAAATTTAAAAACGTACATTTTCAAAGAAAATACTTTGCAATTTTTTTCCCCTTTTTTTCAAAACTTTTATTATTTTTTGATTTCATTAACATTTGAAGTTTCATAAAATGTCCATGGTAACGCAATATCTTTGGTAGTTTTTTTTTAAAAGAGCATCTTTAGTGGAAAAACACAAATCCTGTCACGACCATAACAGACGTTTAAATGAATATTAAAAATAGATAATATTATTTTTATAACTATGTTTTGCTATAAACTAATTTACTTTTATGACCATTATACATTAAAAAGGTCACTGAGCTTTTAGTATATTTGGTCTTTCTAGAAAAAAATAAAAAACTCAAAAAAATTGAAAAAAAGCCAATAATATCTTTTTAAGTTTGTATAACTCCAAAAAAACTTACCTGAGACCCGAAAAATCGTTATGTTTGCATAGAGGCGTGCTTCTTTTGTGTATAAAACATTGAAATATGACGATATTTTAATTTTTGAAATTTTTATGATAGAAATCATAAACGTGATGGTCAGGGACAAGCGGTACGGTCGTGAATTTTCTAAAAAAATCTAAATCTTTCTAAACAATCCTTTAATTATACTGTTAGTTATAATAAAAATATGTGTTTCAATTGAACTAAACTGTTCAAATTACAATTATATTAAAGTTATTGTCACGACCAAACACACTATAATCCATAAGGCTGGATAGGTCGTGAAAAAACCCGCGATGGTCGTGAAACTTTGGTCGTGAAATTACGTGTTATTTGGCTCTGTTCTGGTGGTAGCTCTGCACCTCATGTTCGAGGATACAAAGTGGACTTCTAGGTTAATCTAGCAATTGAAATATCTTATAAACAAAAATTAACACCATGTCTACTTCATCGAATGACTATGTACGGTCATGGACACACCAAAATTACAAAAAACACAACCTTTCCTGTATTAATCTTGTAATTCCTCCTTTCAACTCGAAACGACCGGCACTACAATCCTGACGTACACCCCGAACTAGTCTTTAAAACCAACTGACTCCATCAACGCCAGGCTTGCCACTGTTGTGCTTCAAAGTTGAAAATTTTTCCCAAATGGTCGTGACGCCAAATCGAGGGACAGACTTATTATGTCATGGTAGTCAGTTTGCAATGACAATAAAATTATAATATGCTCCTTTTTTGTAAGTTTAATAACCATTGATGACATAAAAATATGGCTTTATATATTCCGGCATGAATAATTAGTCTAAAAACAGCGTGAAAGTTGGAAAATGTACCAGGGACACGTCATGGTCGTGAATTTTGAGACTTTAAAAATACGAAAAAAATACCTAGAACCTATTTAAAACCAAATAAATGTGTGTAACATGTTGCCCCCATCCCAAAAAATATTAAAACACATAATAATAAACTACAAATCCAGTAGCTACGAAGTAAAAGGTCAGGGACATGAAAACGTACGTTTTTAAATTTTCACTCAGGCCTAAATTCTTCTTTCTTCGGTTAATTTGGATATTTTGCCAATACCTTATTTTATAATTTCACAATTAATAGATTCTGTGTATTCTTCTTGGATACCTTAACTGCTCTGCCACTATTCATTGTTGTAAATCATTTCAAGTTATGGGGTTCACATAAATAAAAACATGGTTGAAATTTACTTGTAATCTTGACCCCAGATGCACTGTATTTTAAATGGAGGAATTGTTTTGAATAATAATTTTGGATCAGCCAATGAATAAATTTTGATGATCAATTATAGGTATATATATTGAGACAATATGGTTTTAATAATTAACAATGAACATGAATAAATATTGAAAATATAACAAGATTGAGTTTGGAATTTAAATAAGGACTATATTTATAAATATTGAATTTTGAGTCATTACAATATATATACTTGTATTATAGGCCTAGTATATATATATATATACAGGGTTAGTAAAAAGTGTGGAGACCCCCTGTTATTTTTTTAACGGCCCGTACTAGAAAAACTAAACTCGGCACACCATTATGGCATGTTATTAAGTACTTTTTGGGCACAACCGCCACTTGGTGTTCATCCCCAAAATGGGAAATTTTGGGGTAAACTAAAAATTTCAAATACAAAGACCCATTGAGTGACCCCTCATTTTAAAGGTCCTGGTAAAAGAAAACCAACAACGCAAACTAGAGGTCTCTATCTCAGCTCAGTACAAAATGGCAGCCAATTGAAATTCTCATAAGTTCCCAAACCCAAAATGGGGGATTTTGGGGGAAACTCAAAACTTTTTAATGATAAGCCCCATCGAGTGACCCCTCATTTTGAAGGCCATAATAAAAGAAAACTAACAACGCAAACTATAGGTCTCTATCTTAACACAGTAAAATATGGCAGCCAATTGAATATAAAATTGCAAGTTATTTCCAACTACTGTAGTGGAACCCCGTCGAAATCGACGGTTAATCTTGAGGTTTTATGTAAATTCACCTACAGACTAATACCTTTCTTTAGACACCCATACCAAGTTTCTACGCCCAGCCGTGTTCTCAAATTAGCTGTGACAAATACCTTGTTTTCCTCCAAAAGAATAACATGGGATGGGAATTTAAAGGCCACTGGGGCAGAGCCCTGAGGGAATTCTCCATGTTTCTCTTTTGATGGCTCATCTACTGACCAGGACCTTTCTTTAGACACCTCTACCGGGTTTCTACGCCCAGCGGTTCTCTCAAAATAGCTGTCACAAAGAAAAACAGTTTCAAATTAATATATAGATTTCTAAAGATTTCAATCAGCTTCCATTTTTTACTGGATTGAGATAGAAACCTCTAGTTTGCGTTGTAAGTTTTCTTTTACCAGGACCTTCAAAATGAGGGATCACTTGATGGGGCTTATCGTTTAAAACTTTTGAGTTTCCCCCAAAATCCCCCATTTTGGGTTTGGTAAGCAAGTGGCTATTATGCTTAAAAAGTACTTCATAACATGCCAAAAAGGTGTGTAGGGTTCAGTTTTCCTAGTGTGAGCCGCTACAAAATTTACAGGGGGTCTCCAGACTTGGAAAGCTGCAAGTTAAATTCAATTTCTGAGAATTTCAATTGGCTGCCATTTTTTACTGGATTGAGATAAATACCTCTAGTTTACGTTTTTGGTTTTCTTTTACCAGGACCTTCAAAATGAGGGGTCACTCGGTAGGTCTTTGTATTTGAAATTTTTGAGTTTCCCCCAAAATCCCCCATTTTGGGGATGTACACCAAGTGACGGTTATGCCCAAAAAGTACTTCATAACATGCCATAAAGGTGTGCCGAGTTTAGTTTTTGTAGTATGGGCCGTTAAAAAAATAACAGGGGGTCTCCACACTTTTTACTAACCCTGTATATATACTAGGCCTATAATACAAGTATATATATATATATACTAGGCCTATAATACAAGTATATATATATATACTAGGCCTATAATACAAGTAACACGCTTGCACACTATGATTTCAAGAACGGCTCCTATGATTTCCTTTGAATTGTTAGGAATATCTTAGTTTCTGGCTAAAAAACAATATCCATGCTAGCCACTGTTCTGGGAAAATTAGTTTTTCGTTTAAAACTTTAAATGAAATTTTGATATTTTTTATACTACCTATAATTTATACTATTAAGTATGGTACATATTAATTAAGTATTATTACATAAATATGGTATTAAGTACGGTATGGCTAGAAGCTAGATAAGCGAAGAAGGCGGAGTCAAACCTATTTAAGTTGTTAAGTTTGTATTCCATTGGATCACAAACATTTTCCATTTTGAAGTTAGATGTCCAAGCCACAAGTTCTTGTTTGCATCAGTAAGACGCGAGATGTAGCTGAAAAGTATGTCAGAACACGTATAGGTATGAGGAGTTATAATAATCTTTATTGTCATTCAACAACATAGAATTACAATAGACAACGTCAGGTCTATTGTATGTTGTAGAGTTGACGAATTGTATGTTGCACCAAACTAAAACACCATGAAATATAACTAATTGCAGGTGCTTAAAGCTAGTCTATCTTCCAAGTATGGACAGAGGCGACAAGGGTCTTAATGTACCCGTTATCGATTACCTTTTCCTTGTAAAGTAAAGGATTTCCTCGAATTTTCACAAGTAAAAGGTTTACCTCTTCTTTATTAATACGGCTCTTGTAATTTGCAGATCTGATGTTTTTTAAATGTCATCAACCATAAACTATTTTACCGTTATTTTTGTTTTTAGTACCAAGGAGATGATATACTTGACGCAGACATACCAACCTACCTGGAGGCCAAACTGTTCTGTACGACGCTGGGCAAGATTGTCTGGGTTGTGCTGCAGCCGTTTTTCTACGGGATCAGACCAATGTTTACAAACCCAAAGCCAGCAACGAGTCTGGAGAAAATCAATACTGCCACTCAACTTGTGTTTAATGCCCTAGTGGCTTATTACTTAGGTAATTAATTTATTACATCCTCATTTAAAGGAATTATTTTGGGGTTTAAAGTTATAGTGTTTGTTTTTTTTTTACAACAATGCACTGGCAAAGATCCTATGGGAGGTTACAGCTTTATTCATCTCTGCTTAAGTACTAAATTAACAACAGGTAATCCTTTTGCTTTGTGCAATTCTATTAACTTATACAATACAGAACAAACTTTTTATTAGTGTAATCTTAGTTTATCCCAGTTTTTGTATGTAAGAAAAATTCTGTGTTTAGTCAGAAAAACTAACAGCTTCAACAACTGTTAGTTAAATATAAAATATATAATTTCCTTATCTAAATAGCTTCATTAAAAAGGGATTACTGTGGATTAATTTTACCGTGATGACAGTCTAAAACTAGTTACTAAGAACTACGTACCTTGTACTAGGCAAATAGAAGCTAAATCCTACATAACTGTGAGTTTTAAAACGTTTTTTGATAAAATGTAAGTAAACGAGTCTCAGTTGTGTGTGGCATAAATCCACAAGCAGAGGGTTGGAAGACGGTTGATCAGAGGGTTGGGAGACGGTTGATCAGAGGGTTGGGAGAGGGTTGAGCAGAGGGTTGGGAGACGGTTGAACAGAGGGTTGGGAGAGGGTTGAGCAGAGGGTTGATTAGAGGGTTGGGAGAGGGTTGATTAGAGGGTTGGGAGACGGTTGAACAGAGGGTTGGGAGACGGTTGAGCAGTGGGTTGGGAGAGGGTTGAGCAGTGGGTCGGGAGAGTGTTGAGCAGAGGGTTGGGAGAGGGTTGAACAGAGGGTTGGGAGACGGTTGAGCAGTGGGTTGGGAGAGGGTTGAGCAGTGGGTTGGGAGAGTGTTGAGCAGAGGGTTGGGAGACGGTTGAACAGAGGGTTGGGAGACGGTTGAACAGAGGGTTGGGAGACGGTTGATTAGAGGGTTGGGAGACGGTTGATTAGAGGGTTGGGAGACGGTTGAACAGAGGGTTGATTAGAGGGTTGGGAGAGGGTTGGGAGACGGTTGAGCAGAGGGTTGAACAGAGGGTTGGGAGACGGTTGAACAGAGGGTTGAGAGAGGGTTGAGCAGAGGGTTGATTAGAGGGTTGGGAGAGGGTTGATTAGAGGGTTGGGAGACGGTTGAACAGAGGGTTGGGAGACGGTTGAGCAGTGGGTTGGGAGAGGGTTGAGCAGTGGGTTGGGAGAGTGTTGAGCAGAGGGTTGGGAGACGGTTGAACAGAGGGTTGGGAGACGGTTGAACAGAGGGTTGGGAGACGGTTGAACAGAGGGTTGAGAGAGGGTTGAGCAGTGGGTTGGGAGAGGGTTGAGCAGTGGGTTGGGAGACGGTTGAACAGAGGGTTGGGAGACGGTTGATTAGAGGGTTGGGAGACGGTTGAACAGAGGGTTGGGAGACGGTTGAGCAGAGGGTTGGGAGACGGTTGAACAGAGGGTTGATTAGAGGGTTGGGAGAGGGTTGAGCAGTGGGTTGATTAGAGGGTTGGGAGACGGTTGATTAGAGGGTTGGGAGACGGTTGAACAGAGGGTTGGGAGACGGTTGAGCAGAGGGTTGGGAGACGGTTGAGCAGAGGGTTGGGAGAGGGTTGAGCAGAGGGTTGGGAGACGGTTGAGCAGAGGGTTGGGAGAGGGTTGAGCAGAGGGTTGGGAGAGGGTTGAGCAGAGGGTTGGGAGACGGTTGAACAGAGGGTTGATTAGAGGGTTGGGAGAGGGTTGAGCAGTGGGTTGATTAGAGGGTTGGGAGACGGTTGATTAGAGGGTTGGGAGACGGTTGAACAGAGGGTTGGGAGACGGTTGAGCAGAGGGTTGGGAGAGGGTTGAGCAGAGGGTTGGGAGACGGTTGAACAGAGGGTTGATTAGAGGGTTGGGAGAGGGTTGAGCAGTGGGTTGATTAGAGGGTTGGGAGAGGGTTGAGCAGAGGGTTGGGAGAGGGTTGAGCAGAGGATTGGGAGAGGGTTGAGCAGAGGGTTGATTAGAGGGTTGGGAGAGGGTTGATTAGAGGGTTGGGAGACGGTTGAACAGAGGGTTGGGAGAGGGTTGAGCAGAGGGTTGGGAGACGGTTGAGCAGAGGGTTGATTAGAGGGTTGGGAGAGGGTTGAGCAGAGGGTTGGGAGAGGGTTGAGCAGAGGTCTGGGAGAGGGTTGAGCAGATCGTTGGGAGAGGGTTGAGCAGAGGATTGGGAGAGGGTTGAGCAGAGGGTTGATTAGAGGGTTGGGAGAGGGTTGATTAGAGGGTTGGGAGACGGTTGAACAGAGGGTTGGGAGACGGTTGAGCAGAGGGTTGGGAGAGGGTTGAGCAGAGGGTTCGGAGACGGTTGAACAGAGGGTTGGGAGACGGTTGAGCAGTGGGTTGGGAGAGGGTTGAGCAGAGGGTTGGGAGACGGTTGAACAGAGGGTTGGGAGACGGTTGAGCAGTGGGTTTGGGAGAGGGTTGAGCAGAGGGTTGGGAGACGGCTGAACAGAGGGTTTCGAGAGGGTTGATCAGAGGGTTGGGAGAGGGTTGAGCAGAGGGTTGATTAGAGGGTTGGGAGAGGGTTGATTAGAGGGTTGGGGGACAGTTGAACAGAGGGTTGGGAGAGGGTGTAGCAGTGGGTTGGGAGACGGTTGAACAGAGGGTGGCGAGAGTGTTGAACAGAGGGTTGCGAGAGGGTTGGGAGAGGGTTGAGAGGGTTGAGCAGAGGGTTGGCATACATGTTTGCTTTCATTAAATAAATGCTATCAGAATGTGTTTAGATAAATCAGGCGGGTTTAACTTAATTTCCACCAACTTTTATAGTTGTAAATTCACTACAACTACATAAGTTTGACAATTGTTTGTTTGTCACAGGAGGTAGGGTGTTAGTATAGATGATTGGGAGCTCTCTGAATAGCAATGGGTCTACACCCAGTGGCAGGTCACTTAATTTCCAAGCACTATGCATCTTCATAATTTTGACAGTTGTTTGTTTGCTGCAGGAGGTAGAGTGTTAGTATACATGATTGGTGGATCACTGCTGGCAATGGGTCTACACCCAGTGGCAGGTCACTTCATTTCCGAGCACTACATGTTCAAGAAGGGTTTTGAGACCTACTCCTACTACGGGCCTTTAAATAAGATTACCTTCAATGTAGGCTACCACAATGAGCATCACGACTTCCCTTATGTGCCTGGCTCTAAACTGCCTGAGGTATGTTGAAATTCCAAGGTTATTTTGTTATAAAAAAATAACTATAAACATAACACTATTATACAATTTTTTTGTCACTGAGATAGTTAAATCAATAATTTCTATCAGCAGAATCTGTTGGTCACTCACTTAAACCGTGTCCATTTTTATCAAACAACTGGCGACAGCTTTATCATGGGGTTGGAATCTTTAATCAATTATTGTCAAAGATTATATTTTAAAACTAATTCTATTTAATTTAGAAAATTCGCCCACATTTAAATATATGAAAAATTTACAAAATTTAGTTTTATTATCCGTGTTATTATTCCGGGGTTGTTATTACAATCCGTGTTATTATTTAATAAGCTTTTGAAGAAGAACTGATTATCGTTTTGTTTTATCACAAACAATTATGAAGAATCATTACCTCACCCTTATGCTTACATACCTTAGCTTGTAATGAATCTGGGGGTTTCTAGATATTGTATCCAACAAATAAGTGACAAAAAAGGTAATTGCAACAAAATAAATTGCAGGTGAAAAGGATAGCAGCTGAGTATTACGACAATCTTCCGCAACACCACTCGTGGACGGCTGTTCTTTACGACTTCATCACAGACCCGGACATCGGCCCTTACGCCAGGATCAGACGAAAACATCGAGGTCTCTCCTCATGAGGTTGCCATTGCCAACCTTACACACCTAAATGTTGCTAGTCTCTCGTTTTGTATGGCTGTGCCAGTATATTTGAAAATTTTTAGAGTTCATGTGATAATTGGCACACATCTTAAGTAAATAATTTTTTTTTTTTATTTTTTTTTTTGCTGTGCTTATTTATACTGTAGGCCTATTATTAATGTTATTTGAACATACAATTTAAAAAAAGATATGGCATTTATTATATGGAATATTTGCAGATGTTAAATTTCTTTTTATTGGGGTAACTATGTTTAGTTCAGGTGGATTTCGTAATGTACTGTGTTTGATAGCTTGAATCTTGAACTATGCTATGAGATAATAACTTTAATTTACTGTTTAGTCACTATTACCTAAACTCATTACATTTTCTCAGCCTTTTCTGTTAACACATCTTAACAAATCAATAAGTTTTTGCATTTGTCAAATTGAATAAAATTGTATGAAATTATGCAGAACTACTGTGTACACATTAACACTTGCAACAGTCAGGGCCACATATTCATAATGACCCAAGAGGTTTTAGGTTTGTTGGGGGCCCAAGAAAGAGAACAATTTCTCCACAAGGTAGGTGGAGAGGGGCGCAATAATTATCTGTCGGGCCCATAGTGCATCACATGCAAACTGCAGGCCTGGCCTGGCAACAGTGTTTGTTGACGAATAAGTTAAAGATCAATTCTACTACCCATTACTGTTTTAATGTATAACTTTATTTGAACAGATGGTATTGTCACAGATAAAACATACTCCCTTGGTAGATTTCTCATCCTTAACATCAGCTGAAGAAAATTTTTTTTAAATTCTGCCTGGTACACTATAGAGGTCGTGTTTGGTTTACATTGTTTCTTGTTTATTTCAGTAATTTAAAACCCTGTGTAACCAAATATAAAACGATCCAATCAAAAACAATAACTTTTCACCTAGTTATGTAAACAAACAGTAAAGCACAAATCTAGAAATTAACCCTAATTAAATAGAACAAAATGTTGTCAACACTAGTGATCATGATGCGAAAAACGAGCTTCAAAATTTACAATGGGATGAGAAGTCTACTTGTGTTTGTTAGTCTATGGTTTTGTTTTCATGTTCATGTAATCGTTCCAATGTTGTTTAAAAGTTTTAGTAAAACGTTATTTAAAACCAAGTCTTAAGGGTCCAAATTATTCCTTCCTGCAGTAGAGTGTAACAGGTTATGGGCGATTAATTTGAGGACAAGGTTGACTTGGGATGGCAATGGAAACTCAAACTCCTATAGGCGTAGTAGTGGAACCTTTTAATGGAAACAATTTCAGTAATTGGCTGTTCAGTTTAGATTTGGTGTTGGAACAGAATAAAGTCTTAAATGTCTCAACTGGAAACATCCCTGAAGAAGAAGGGCCAATGTCTACCTTCATGGGAAAAAGTGTTAAAGCAATATTATTATTTCCATTTCAATATACTAGGTTTAATATGTCAAAGCCCAATATGACAGAAAACGGAAAATGGTTTTTATTTCTGAAATCAAACATTTGTTGTGGATTCTTCCATGATATTATTTAAACTAAAGACTGTCAAAGGAAACATTTACTTTTATGATGACTTTGTTTACCCTGTTTTTACTTAAAGTATTTCAATCATAAAGTAGCTCTTTCATAAATAATCTAATCGGAGGATTTAATAACATAACAATCAGAATAGGTTAACTAACGAAAATAGCTTTTGTGAATTCTTTGTTCTATTTAAACGGATTTGTAATAATTTACTAGATAATTTCATCAATAAGTGAGCTCACCAAGCACCTAACAAAGCAATAATAATATTGTTGGCGTGGTTGTGCAAGTAAAAATTATTCTTATGAACAAGAAGGATGAACTAATTTAAAACATTTAGTTCTCAGTAAATGACGTTGTAGGATCACTATTCATGAGTTAGTATCGATGCTAAAACAAGTAAATCAGATAATTTATTTCTTATCTTATACTTTGTGAGCTATGCTATTCTAATGGATCAACCAGTTTTTGTTGTCATGAAGTGCTGGATTTTTTGTTTAAAAATCAAGTTTCCTTCACTTGATGATTCTACATCTCCCATAGTTCCCTTGTTTAGCGTCGGTGCATAGAGGACATGTGCTCCACAGACCCTCCGTGCCGCTCCAAACGTCGTCCGCCTTTGCTTCGCTCACGTAACTCAAGTTCTGCTTGGTACAGCTTCCTTGTCTCATTCAGTTTATGGAACTCCTACATGTATAAGACATTGTATCAGTGGATTTCTTCAATCAAATTTAAGAAATTGTAATATCATGTTGTACTTACTAGTAACTATTAATTGATTAATGATGATTAAATTGTGAAATTAACTGCAACTGGTTCTATGTTTGAAACTAAAACTATACAATATGTGAAATGAGGCTAGGAGCTGCCTCTCAAGACCTATAATGAATATACGGTGTACTGTTTTTCAAACTACTGCCTAAAGACACCGCCCTCGCCCATGTTTGGAGATTCTAGGGGCAGTGTGGGAAGATAAATTTATTGGCGTATTGTCCTTTTGCAGAACTATGGTTTGGAATTGCTGTTATGCTAAAAGCCGACAAGTGGCCCTAGTTGAAAGAATGTTTAGCTCGATGTGCTGCTCGACTACTCTATATAGTAGACAATATACAAATTATGACAATCATAACATTTTTCTTACAATATTAGAACTAGTAATAGAAAAACACAATGAATGAAATATATACATTCACTATCCTGAACAAAAACAGCTGTTAGTATGGTCCATTTACCTTGGCCTGTACATCTAGTTGATGCTCCGTATCATTTAGACTACTGATCAAGTCAGTTTTCATCCTCTCCAACTGCTTTACAATGCGCACAAGCTCAGCCTGCAATTACAAGTTGAAGTTATACTTTGACATTATCATGATTGCATTATGTAATACCATCAGTGCTTGATTTGCAAGGTAACACGGTGGAACAGAGTTCTGGTACCTCTCTTTCAGGAAGATAAAAAAAATTGGCATAAATTAGTACAAATCACATTAAATAGGTTACAGTTCTGGCACCTTATTTTTTTAAATCAAGCACTGTGTAATACATTTCCACCAATAGTTTAAACATAGAAAAACTTGTTGGTGTAATCATGGATGTAAGCTATACTATATGTTATGGAAAAAAATCAGTGGATATAGCTTATTTTACAATTAAAATTTAGATTACACAAATGTTATTAATGTAACTAAAAATGAGTTACACCAAAAATATACCTAGGAAAAATTAATGGAATAAATTAATTTTAATACAAAAAAACAAATTGGAGAACACATAATTATGTTTTGATATATTATTATAAAGTATATTTGATATATTTCGAAATATTAATAACACCATAAATGCCGTCAATTTGACCCAAGCTTGTTTACATCCAGATCCAATTTGGCTAACCGAATGTTGAATTGGCTTTCTTAAGCATAGTCCAATAATTTTTGTGAATGCAGTGATTAAATAACAAAAACTAAGACAATCTAATAAGATCATAAAATTTACCTGTGATAAGTTATCAAGGTTCAAATCTGTTATATCCGTTTCAGCATCTGTAAGAATTAAGAAAAATATTATCTAAAAAAAATGAATATGAATTTGTTATTTTTGAAGGATTTTACTAAAAAGATCAGTATTTGCAACACAAAGTCCTGTATCCTGTATTAGTTGTTTGTCTACAGTATTCAATATGTATAATCAATATTTTAAATGTAACAGGCTGTGTGTGACACAGATTGTCTGACTGTCTCCATATACTATGTAGGGGGAGAAAGTAAAAATTACTCAGATTAATCCAGTGATTTTTCATTAATTTATTCATGCACATTAAAACGATATGTTTTCTCCTCATATTATGAAAAAAAATCAAATATCCTTAAAACAATTTTTTCCAAAAAAAAACTTCCAACTAAGCCATGCCCACTGTTTTTTATGATTAGCCAAGCTCTTCAAGACAGGTGAACTCCTCTATTTGCACCGGAACTGATCGAGACGGGATTAGAACCATCATCCTACTGATTTGCCACAGAAGACTTCATTTTGTTTGTTAGTTTGTTAAACTTTGAGTAAAACATCGGATCAAAAATAGTTTCAAAAACACTGATTAAATATTAATTTAAAGATTAAAGTGCCACGATTTAAAATAATACCTGAAGGCAGGTTTTCCTAGCTCAGAGCATATTTTAAGGGATTTCCACTGGGCAACAGGGGTGCTGGGTGCTGGACTTACCAGGAGGCCCCATTAAAAAGTGGGGTCCGAGGACCCTGGAAAATGTTTGCATAAGAGTGAAAATCACACATTCCTATGTACCTTGTAATGAATTTTCAGATAATATTTGCTTGTAAATCGTCCATATAATCTCACTTAATTACAAATTCTAGAAATATTTACACAATGTTATTTTTGAAATACTTACCCGGTACATTTAAAATGTGAATTTAAAAAAAAAATATGCTGGCACCCTCCATAGCACTTGGCAACACAACTGTCGCCCAGTTAACATGTTATTTTACACAGTTCCTGACGCTGTGTCGGAAAACGCAGCTATCTGCAGCTTATTGGAAAACCCAACTTTAGTCAATTTTTCAAATGCACTGAGTATTCAAACTTCCTATAAGGGCACATACCTTTTAATATCCGGAGTCTTTCCGTCTCCAAAGCGATATCCTTTTCAAGCTTGTGATTGGCCTTGAGTTGAGCCTGCCAGCGTTGGTAGCCATCACACGAAGGGTTAGGAGGGTTCACTGTGGATGTATGACAATATTGTAATGTTATTGTAGCATTTGATTATAAAATCAATCTCTTCCATTGCTGGCAAAGCAAAATAAACCTCTAATCTAAACTATTTTCATAAATAATTTGTGTTAGGCATTCCATATACAATGTAGCTCAAGACTGTAAAGTGCTAGTTCAACAACCAAAAGGTTGGTTAGATTCTGGGAAAAGTCAGAATCTTTTTGAATGGTTTGAAACTGGAACCAGCTGTCTTTGTACAGGGCTTTTAATAAATGGTCCAAACTAAAGCTGGACAAAGTAACGTCGGCATCTCGACTCGTTTTACAACCATCCTTCACTTTTATTCGGGTTTGAACAGCATAGCAAAGCTGGTGGCTCTGCCTAAGAACTGACAGGCAAAGCTCTCTCAAAGTACTTAACGCTTTTTACCATGCGGTTGGCATTCTGGGTTATAGTAGTACGTTATCTGTGCTGTTACCCACGGGCTTCGCTCCGTTTGACTTTTGAACCTCATTCACTTGTGTGACAACCTGTTCTAAACAAGCAATACAACTGTACCTGCAAATATTTCTTCGAATCACAAAATTTGAAAATTTACCATACTAATAGCGCATTAACCTACATAATATACATAGGTATATAGAATCACAAAAAATTAGTAGGTACCTTTAAACTAAAGAACCAACTGGGCTGGAATTTTACATGAATATGCCTCAAATCAAGCCATATAAGCTCATGTAGGCTTGTCAATGGACAACACATTTTCCATCTCATAATATCGCATACCGGTATTGATTAGGCCTACATAAAAGGTACTTCTCAAGTAAGAAGTAAATTCAAATTAACTAAAAATTACTGTTATCAGAGCTGTTTCACTATAAAACTCAGTTGATGAACATTATGTAACGTAAATTATAGACTAAATTAATTAATTCATCTTTGAGGAAATTATTCAATTAGGACATGTCCTCTCATCTTAATACCATCAACCTTTTTAAACTTGAGCAGGAACAACTACTTTATAATCTTAACTCAGATAAAATACCCCCGCCGCAGCAAACCTGCAGACTAAGCGAATTTCCATTTGCCTGATTGGGTTTACACTAAAATGTCTCCTTAAAAATATCAACATTTATTTCCTATTTAAATAGAATCAGTTTAACACATACTTAGGTTTGCTGCAACAAGGAGGGTAAAAGTGTTTTTTATGTAAAATGTTAATAGTTAGTAAGAAATAAAAACATTTTCCAAATTTGGGCAACAAATGTTAATAAACAAGCAAACTACAACAGTTTACTTATTCTCCATAAGAATAACATGGGAATTTTAAATTTACAATTTTTTGGAATTTTCTCCGTAACCGTTAGGTGCATTATAACGCTTCAATATACTAAATTATTTGTTTTTTTAAGCTCTACAAAATAGTTTGGAAAGAAATTGCAAAATTTTATGTTTTTTGAGTCAAAAGTGGGAAAACCCCATTTTTACCCCATAAAACCCCCCATAAACCCCCGTTCCCATGGTCCGATCATGCTGGTTCACGAACTCGTTCGAATAAACGTAGGTTTACACGCTTGTACCAAATTTCATCAAAATCGGATCGTTTTTGCTCGAGTTATCGCGCTAACGGACACATATATAAATATATATATATATATATATATATGAATTTGAACGGATGGTGTTTTTGGCCTTTAGGGACCTCAAAACGAAAAAAAAATCGGTCCCGGGTCCAGGTCTTACCATGAGTACTACGGTAATAGCTTATTCCCTATATGGGAAATTCGCTAAAAACCACAATAAATGAAAATTTTAAAAATCAAGATAGGGCACCTTTGCAATAAAGTTTAAAAGCATACAATTTAGCTGATCTTATAGAATACTTACGGTTTGGGTCTTGTTTTTTTATAAATTGCAATTCTCTTTCAAGCTTTGATATAGTAGATTCTAAATTTCTGTTATCAGCAATCATTTTATCTCTACAAAACAAACAAATAATTATACAAAACAAGCAAATAATCACCACAATTTACTTTTTAAGCATAAATGATAATTTACGCTATTAATAAAAGCGTATTAATAAAATTTATAAGAGGCAATAACTATGTCAATAAATTAACTTAACTTATCTGCTTCTTCAGCATAGTGCATAAAACTGTCACTGACTAATTAAGATATTTTGGTAATACAATTGACAATAAAATATTTATGAATTGAATTATTAGCCACTTTCTTCAAATATGTATCACTTCTATAAACAATATTATTATTACCTTACTTATGTACATTTTGTCACTAAATGTATTAAGATATTAATTTGTATTTAAAGATTATATTTACCTAAATTTTATCTCTTGCTCAAGTTCAGATTTCAAATTCATAATTTCTGGTGTATCCTTCATTTTCATTCTGATATTGATCAAACTTATGGTAGCTTGGTGGGAAGTATGCGCCTATCAAATTACTCTTTGTTAGTTTCTATTTTGCTACAAATAATACTGTAAATTATTTCAGCAACAGTTTTTCCTGTTGCATTAATTTGGTTGCTATAGCCCCTTCGATCTATGTATCATTCAGGAGTTTTGGCATTTATTGTAGGAATAAATAATGGCTGGGATGATAGTTTATTACCAAGTAAGTATTTAACTTTGTTTTCATATTCAAAATTATCATTAGAAGTAAGTTACAGAGCAACATATTGAATGATGAATTAATTTGTATTATTCTTACAAGGATTTGTTTTATATATATATTCAGAGTTTCTTTTTTTCCATTCATATAGGATCCACAATTAATCAAGGGCAATATTGGTTACTTTAGTATGTAGATTTGTAAAATTATGTGTTTGTAAAACTTCCAGAATAAGATACACAACACCATTAGATTAAATTTACTTCGTTCTGAAGACCCTCTTAAAATTCAATGATCTCAGCATGAGCATCATCATATGGTATTATCCAAAAGTAACCAGTGAATTATATGTTTTCTTAAATATTCAATTCAACCAGATTTGAGCTCGAGCCCACTATGTTCTTGTAGTGCAATGGTAGGTATGGCAATTTTTCATCCATTTAAAATGTTTTTCAATGTAAGGAAAAATTATTGAGACTATCAAATCAATAAAAAAAACGTATTAGCTAAATTATTGCAAACGTAAATTTTAAAGTAAATCATCCACTTTTATTTTAATCCACTGAAAGTAAATTTGCATTTTGTGTTTTATTTCTTGTACTGACCAGGAATAAAGTTCAAGTTTGGTATATCTAACTTGGGGGCTAAACAATTAAAATGTTTTTGGCGTGTTTGTGTTTAATTACTACCATACTCCAACTGAATTTTATGTTGCTCAAAATTGAGCAATTGCAAAGTATAACAGAGAAGTCATAATTTCCGATGAGTTTAAATGAGTTAACTCAAAGATTATGTAACTAATATGGAAATACTCACAATGTACATAACAGATCAATATAAATCAACATTTCTTGTAAGTATTGTAAAATTTTCCAAAAGCTAATCTTGTTTTAAAAGTTTTCTACAACAATAATTCCCATCATGACCCGCATTAGGTTGTCCAAGTTTAACTTATCATCATTGATAATGTAGCCTTCTTGGTAATTAACTTACTATAGCATACCATACCTTACTTTTGATGTATAGTCTATATGGTCTATATATAATCATAGCTTTCATGACAATCTTTTCACTAAAATCCTTAATAACATCTGAAAATCTGACAAGTCTAGTGAGTTTCGCCAATTCATAACTGAACCTAAAAATCTAGCATTATTATTATTTTTTCAATTTTATTTTGAAATAACTATATATAGGTTATTTGAATTTTAAATGATCCGTGCTGTAAAATATTCTTCAATAAACAAAAAAAACAGTAAACATAACTACCTATACTAACCATGACCAGAGTTGCACCAGCCCCACCCTTGTGGGGGCCATGCATAGACATACATACCCTTGTAGATATGTCATCCTTTTGGATTAATAATTATTGTCAATATTATCAACAGTTTTTGAGAATGGGATGCCACATAATATAAGTGTGTAACGTATTTGTATTTTAATTTGAACCCATGAGCAGTATGTTTTCTGTGCCATGAGTTAGTAAAGGATGGTTGTAAAACGGTGTGAGATGATCTGTGTACAGTAGCTTTGTCACTGTACTGACTGAGAGATCAGTTGTTAGTCAGGGCCCTTAGATGCTCAACGATCAGGAACAGCCAGGTCCAGTTTTGATTCGATCGAACCATCATGACTAGCTGCTACACTGCCTTTTCTCCCAACTGTGGACAAATTTTATGGATAATGTGTTCGTACCCAAGGATGCTTAAAAGAATTTATTAATTATGTAAGTCCAGATAATATGTTAAGTAACACGGTTTTCGTCATTTTTAAACTCCTCCCTCACCCTGTGCCACTATACATAACGCAAGCCTAAAACTGTTTATAAGCGTTACGTAATATATGGTAATATGTGGACGGCCGATTAACAAGTTATTTCAATATTAAGACTAATGACAACAACAAACAAATTATAAGTTAGTTGACGTTAACATAATTTTAGAAAAACGAAATGCTACAAAAATCTTTCCAATTGTTTTTTTTTTGCCATACAATGTATTAACACTGTAAATGTATTAGCATTCTATTTGTATGCCGTTGGTTAAAACATCTAATTTATTTACTTTCGGTGGGCGGTGGACGGCCGCCTGATTTTGATTACAACAAAAAGATGTTTGTTGTTGTTTTGTTTGTCTTGTCAATGCCAATATTGAACAGCGATTTTAGGTTATGTCTCATTTAGATTTTTGCGGTTATTTGATTGACAATTTAGCACCATAAAAGTCTAATTATATATTCTCATGAGTGTTACCTACCATGAATCTAAGTCTTTGTTGCTGTTTAGTAAATAAATCAGGTAATATTATTGTATAGGTTGAAATTTTGATACTTTCAAGGCTTACTGGGGGTCAATTTAATTTATTCCAAGTTCCAAGTCATACGTGCCATAGAATATACAATATCATTTAAAAATATGTGTCATAATGTCTAAAGATTGTATGATGGTATCCCTAAACAAAAACATAATGCTATCTTTATTCTTTACTTTATATATAATGGTTTAATAAAGCCTAGGTCTAACTAGGGTCTCTGGACGAATCATATCATGTAAGGACTCGTTTTTATATTTGTGGTAAAAAACATCATATCAGAGCATACCAAACACTTGCAATAGATCTAGAATTCCCTATAAATTTATATGTTTTGTGACTAAACAATCGTTGGTTGGTCCGGAGAAAGCATTATTATGTTTGTAGGCTTAATGTGTGCTTTGATAGTGGTTGGGCCAGAAGTTCGCTATGATCAAATATAGGCCAACACACTTGCTATGGTGAGGGAATGGAAGGGGCCAGACTGGTTTTTTTGGCAAGTAAAGTAAGGATTGCAAATGTTGCCATCTTAGAGTGTTCTCAATAATGCTACCATGGGTAGGCATACCTTTGATTTCATTGGACTCCTAAACATCGTATGATTAAATGTATCCTTAAAGTATGCTTAAAACATATTTTTCCTGCCACTTTTTTGTATATTATTTCTCTTTTTTAGGTTACATTCATATGTCATTGACTTAATTTTGGTTTAATATAAGTAGGCTAAGTCATACCTTTTCTGAAGATTTTTATAATAAAGCCGACTTGTTAAAACAACATTTACCTGCAATTGGCCAATTTCCATTAGGTAGTTCATTAGTTAGACCCTAATGGTACCTATTTGGGTTGGTGGGTGGGGGGGGGGGGGGTGTCATCATTAAGCATTAACTTAATTTTAACTTTGCTTGTTGCAGTCCCAATAAGTAACAAGTAGGCCTATCATTTAGATAATCACTGCTTCGACAAAACAAACAAATTTGGCACAGGCTATCCAAATAGGTTCTGTTTTGTTGTAGTTTATCATTTTATACTGTTAGTAGGCCTAAGCCTAAGTTACTAGGTGAATCGTCCAGAGAATACAGAGTCAAACAAGGATCCATGGATCTGCATCAGGGTCAGATACAGTAGGCTACCACAGAGTCACCATGCACCCTGACAAAAATCATACAGGCTTATGTGCAGTAAATTCCAGCATATAAAATTTACTTATAAAATGAAAGATATCAATGTTGCTTGGAATCACTACTAAGCAGCATTTTAATGTCTCTATTAAGAAGTTAGTTTATCGTTTTAATATTTTCAGACTTTGGTGGATGACAGAAACCGTTTGGTATCACAGATTGTGAAACCACTTTACCCATTATGACATCACCTGTTTCTGAACTACTAGTACAAGAAAGTTTGTGTACGGTAAGTATTTGTTTAGGCCTTCTCTTTCAAAATGCTAGGCCTAAGTACAAATGATACATCTTTAATTTATTTTGCTAGAAATTTTAATTTAATGTTTTAAAATACATAAGGCAATAGCTTTATAATGTGAATCTTACCTTGTCCCATGAATCTAAAAATTGGGTGACCACATGTCCCGAAAAATCAGAATTGTCCCAGTTTTATCTTGACACATTATACAAACAAATTGTCTCCAAGAAAATTTCCTCTGATGTATATGAACCATTATGGACTTTATGGACGTATATAACCAATCTATTTACTACCTGGACCAAGGCCCCACTAGAAAAACAGATCATGCTGCAACGTGGGCAGTGCAACACTACGTCTCAGAGATGGATATTTGTACTAAAGTTGCCAGACGTAAAAAGCCAGCTTATTTACCTTAAACATAGGGGTCTATGGGGTATGGCAGTGAATCTATCCACAAGTAGGACGTAATGGATCCAGCAGCATGGCCAGTTTTTCTATTGAGGCCTTGCCTGGACAAATGTAGGGAGAAGGGGGTCAAGGAAGGGTAAAAATAGTGTCTCGGTTTTACCAATATCCAAGTCTGAAAGGACAAAATATAAGTTTTTCCTAAATTGTGGGAAAAAAGCTATTTCTATATGTTTTTTTGGAAGTTGAGGAGGAAAAATTACGAATCAAATCTTGAATGAGAAAGTAATGTTGGCATATGAAAGTAATTTTGTAATTTATCCCCATATATTTTTATTATTGTAATAACATTTCTTTTCAGGACTTGTTCAAGACAATATCTGAAAGTGTAGACGCAACAAGACATGTTGACTCCGACGTGTCATCAGCTGGGCAAGGTGAGAATGATATACAGTAGACCCACTCTTAACCGACCTTGCATTAACCGATAATCGGATTACCCACCCTCGATCGTAAAATATCACAGTTTGTTTTAACTGACCTTGCTTTGACAGCAGTCGGTTTAACCGCCGCTTTCTAGGAGTCTCGGCATTTCCACTCCCACGCTCGGCGATGGGAACCATACGCTGATTTCCACAGGATGTAGACTAAAAATAAGTTATTTTGTATTAATCCCAAAAAGTTTATGTTTCTGAAAACAGCTGCCATTTTTATAATATAATCTATGATTATCTTATTGCTAGAGCAAACAAAGAACGCAACTTGTAGGGATGGCAGGGGAGGGAGGTTAACTACTATAAGGTCAAGATAGTTTTTGTAACTCGAGCCTCCAGTGAGAGGCCATACATAAACATCATGTCTCGTAAAAAAATGGTTGCTTGCATATTTAATTTATACAAAAGGCTCTGTACTGTATTACGATAGATTTGGAAGCATCAATTAATATTAGCCTACAGTACTACAGTTATTAATATAAGAATTTTTATTGACTCTTGCCTACAATTATAATATATTCCACTTATATAAAATTCAAAATTAATAGCTCTTCATTTTGTTATGTTTTTAGGGATTGCCCGTTTTAACCGACCTTTTAAATTAACCGACCTAGGGTCAGTTAAGTCTACTGTAGCTAAAGGTTGTTCCTAAAGAATGATGAGGTTCCATAATTTTTACTGCGAGGGGGGTTGTACCATTATGATAACAGTTAAAGAGACTAGACTCTAATAACATACTTCTACTAAATTATAATCAAAATAGTTCAGGCCGTTTTTGTAAAAATGCAATTTTTCTGTTATTTTATAGGTTTTCATGGGAAAATCACCATTTAAAAAGTTTCAAAAAAATTCAAAAACACCCGGAGATACCATGGATTAGCACCTACATGAAATTTTATCAAAATCGGATCACATATGTGGTCTGTACCTCTGTACACATTCATACAGAAAAGGAAGACACTAGACACATAGGTACATCACTTCGAAAACCACTTTTTGGGGTTCAGAGGGAATCCAAACCAAACCGGATAGGAATCCACCCAAAACTCAAACTTGATTTTTTTTACAAAAACAATACTTTCTTAATATACTATATATAGGAGGAGAAAGATAAAAAAATTGACATAGTTAAAGTGAGCTACTGCCAGGTTGGGCCCTGGTGTAAATTATTGATTTCTGTTAAATATTTAGACTTTTTAGCCAAGTCAAACTGAGAGGATGACTTATTGTAAGCTTAAGCTATAACATCTTTTATGGCACTTCAAGTATCTCAGCAACAAAAAATAAGGTAGAAAATAGAATTTTAGACACTAACGCCACCTGTGACTAGCTCACACAACTAGGTTCTTTTTTAATAAAAAAATGACAACAGCTGGTCCATATAGGTGGGATGCCTACTTCAGTATCCAAAAGTCAATGGTAGAATCGTGTAGACAATAGACAATAGACAATAGACAATAGACAATTCTTTATTCCGTTAAACAATATACATTGCAATAGGAAAGGTCAATACAATTTAAACTATAATACAGTCATCGTTTTGTAAACATTAAACAAAAGTTTTACAATCTAAAAAATCTTTGGTAGAGAAAAAGGCATTTGCTTTAAGGAGTACAGAGATGGCTGACTTAAATTTGACATAATTGAGATTTCTTAATTCTAGTGGTAATTTATTGTATAACTGCAACTGTTGATACAAATGACAATTCAAGGTTTTACTTAGCCTAACATGGGGGGTGGACAGATCATTTCTATTTCTGGTTAAGTGTACATGACAAGAAGCTTGTGTAGAAAATGAGTTGATGTTTTGTTTTACATGGAGGAGGTTACTAAAAATATACAAAGAAGGCACAGTCATAATGTTTAGCTCTACAAAACTAGCTCTACAACAACCTCTAGAGGCAAGGTTAGCAAGTACTCTGATGGCTTTTCTCTGCCATCGAAAAACTTTGGTTACATGGGGGGAATTTCCCCAGAGACGGATGCCATAACTAATGAGTGAATGAAATAGACCATAATAAGTGGTAATCAAAGTATCCAGGTTTACAGACAATTTAAGTTTACGTAACAAGCCAACCACACGAGACAGTTTTTTACACAAATTAAGAATATGTGGTTTCCAGCTTAACTTGGAATCTAAAGTGAACCCCAGAAGTTTAACATCACTACTTACATAATCAGGAACTTGCTTGAGAGAGAAATAGATCAATTCAGTCTTTTCTTCATTTATAATTAAGTTGTTGGCTTTGAACCAAGATTTGGCACAAGTAAGAGCTTGAGACAAGTTCTGTTTTACATTATCAAATTCCAAATCAGAACACATTAATGTTGTGTCGTCCGCATAAAATACTGAAAAGGTTGGAACATTACAATACAAGTCATTTACATATATAAGATACAAAAAAGGTCCGAGAACGGAACCTTGCGGAACACCTGCTGATACATCAAGAAAAGTAGAACATTTGTCTTCAACAACAACCCTCTGCTTACGATTAGATAAATAAGATTTTATAAGATTCAACTCACTATTTCTTACACCATAAAAAGCTAACTTATCATACAATATTTGAAACGTAATACAGTCAAAGGCCTTTGTTAGGTCAATTAGGTTGGAGGCTACCACATGTTTATTTTCAAAGCTATTTACAATTTCGTTAACAACGGCTTCCAATGCAAGAACTGTGTTGTGATGGGGACGAAACCCATATTGATGTTTGTAAAGCAAGTTATTTACATTAAAAAAATTATAAAGTTGTAAAAACAGACATGATTCTATAATCTTACCTAATATTGGTACAATAGCAATAGGACGTTAGCATTCCGGTTTCGTTCTGTCACCTTTCTTGAAAACTGGGGTCACATTGGTTATCTTCAGACAGTCTGGGAAAATGCCTTGAGAGAGAACTAAGTTAATTAAGAAGGTCAAGGGGTTGATAATAGAGTCACCAGTAGATTTGATTACATAATTGGATAGGCCGAAAATATCTTCACTTTTTGAATTGCTTAGACCTGAAAGAACTTTGGAGACCGTCTTGTTATCCACAGGTTTCCATCTGAAGCAGGAATCGGGTAAAGGCTTATTAAAGTTTTCCAGTAGATTGCAGTGGTTAACGTCACTTCCGTCTAAATCAGAGTTCAATTGAGCAGCTTTAACCGTAGTGGAAACATTTACAAAATAGTTATTTAAACTATCTGGGGGAATTGGTATTTCTTTTTTTGTTGTGACAAACCCAGATTCACTTCTGATAACCTTCCAGGCCATTTTACATTTGTTTTTAGCAGTCTTTATAAGATTATCATTAGCAGCTTTTTTCTCATTACCAATCTGCTTGTTATAAATCTTTCTGAATTCAATATATCTACACTTATCTTCTATATTATTAGTATTTTTCCATCTGTCATACATTGCAAGTAAAACCCTCCGCATTAGGTGTAATTGCGGTGTAAACCATTTATTAGACGCTGAACTTTGTCGAGGTCTACTAGCAACTTTCTTGGGCAGAATGTTTATTGGGGGACACATATCATTAAAACAGGTAGACAAGATATTTACAAAGAACAAAAATGCAATATTTACATCACTTAGTCTATAGAGGCTAGACCAGTCATATTGAGATAGATAGTTTATGAAGTTCCCAAGCCTATCACCCCTGAGAAGGCGAACAGTTTTTTTTGGTATCTTCACATGATAGTTAGTTTTACTTTTGTTACCATTACAGTAGTTGAACTTTGTCCATACACCTGCATGATCCGAGATGCGATCCTGGCCCAGTAGCGAAACTTCAAAGTGCTCAGGTGTAAGGTTAGTGTAAATGTTATCAAGGCAAGCCATGAAACGGGTTGGCCTGTTGTTTGTGTGATAGAGATCAAAAGATCTTAGTAAATTTAAAAGTTCAAAAGACTCAGAGCTATCACTTTCAAGCAAGTCTACATTTAAGTCACCAGCTAGAATTAGGCACTCGCCAGAACTGACATATTTGTTAGTGACATGGAGCAAAAGTTGTTCCATATTTTCAATAAAGATATTGAAGTTCACATCCGGTGTACGGTAGACACATAGGATCACCATATTTAGATTGGTAAGTCTAATAGCAGCCCCCTCACAGACACTATCTTGGCAATACCTGGATATGTTGACACAATCATATGAGAAGTCTTTTTTTACATAGATAGCTGAACCCCCGAAGGAGGAGAGCCTAGCATAATAATCTGCCAGTACAAAACCCTCAGGAACATAAAAATTAATCTCTTCCTTACTGAGCCAATGTTCATTTATGCAGACAATATCCGCCGGTTTTTCCAGCAGTACTAACTCTAGTAGGCCTAATTTATTTTTCAAAGACCTAATATTTAAGATACAAATGTCAATCAAAATATTATTACTTGGTTCATTTTCTGAGGTTCGGGCATTAGTTGATTTTAAAGAAATATCTTCTATACCGGCCCGTTCTGTTTGGAAGTTTGTACTAAAAAAGACCTATTGTCATTAGGCTTACTTGTGGAGTACTTATTTAGTCTAGGAGCTCGGTACTTTCCCAGAATACAACCTTCAGGCCAGAGATCTGGTGTAAGGAAGACCTCGGACATGTCAATCGGAACCCCCACTTTAAAGGAATTGTAGCTCGAGTAGCGAGATTGAATTTTCTCACATAGATATTGTTCATCTTTGACTATCTTCAGGAAAGAGTTAATATCTTCACAGTTGACTGAGGTGTCTAGTCCAGAGACAAAAAGCCAAAATAACCTTTTGGCAGCTTTCAGGTTGCTGTTACTACCTTTACTAGTCCCATGTATAACAGTTCTAGGCTTTAAGGATTTTAGAGCTTCACTATACGTTTTTGTTTGGGTAGATTGCTGTCCCTTATTTGAAATAACCAAGGGACTTTTATTATCTGACAAATGACTAGAGTTGCTTACCCTTTGAGGCCCTAGCCTAGGCCTGCCCTCAGACCTAGGTCTACTTGCCAACTGAGATTGACTCTTCTTGTAATTCACGGTTTGCCAATCATAATTTGAATTTTTAAACACTCTCCCATTCAAGTAGTGCTCAGAACTTGGGTCATTTATGTTTATCAACTTTTTATGTACTTTATTAGTTGACCTAGATTGACGTTTATCACTTGATTTAGAATTAGAAGAGGCTTCTGCTACTGCTTCGTCTTCGTCATAATCGCAGTTGTTGTCGTTGTCAGTATTGTCACCGCTTTTAGAGGTAGCGGACAGTTTTTCAGCATCAATGTCAAGGACATCCAAAGAGCTAGGAGCATCACCATGGCCCACAGAGTGAGAGTCCTCAGAGCATCGAATTGTCGGTTTGATGGTCTTTGAGGTAGAGGTTTTACCCTCTACAACGTTTGGATTTGAATTACAAGACTCAGCATGTTTATGATTCTGAATTATTTCTGATTTAAGGTTAGAAATCTCAAAAGAAAGCTGTAGATTTTTATCAGAAATACTTTCGAGAGACTTTTGAATAAGTAAATTGTCAGTTGATATTCCCTTAACAATCTGAACAAGACTTTTTACTGTTGAGTTTAAATTGATTATATCTTCTATGTCGACAACATAAGTAACCAACCTTTCAAGCTTCTTTCCACAGGGATCACAGTACCACCGAATTTTGTCCGCTAATTCCGTAATTTGGTCATACTCACTATTTGAAACTTGAACACATTCTGCATGATACCAAGTATTACAAAATCCTTCACACTGAATAGCATTTTGCTCATCATTTACGATTGAATTACACACGGAACAAAGATTGATATCACCTTCTACTGTCGCCATCTTCAATCTCTCTACGAGAGCTCTGAGGTAGGTCTCCTCAGAGACCTGTAGGTGTAGCTGTAGGTGTAGGTGTAGCTTTGTCAGTGGCGCACCCCAAGGACATAGGGCTAACTCTTTACGAGGGTCAGACGTCAGCTGTATATAAGTAAATTTTTCACTAATTTTTAAAATATATATATATATATATATAAATATATAAAAAATATCTTATATACTAAAAAAAACTTTTGCAAAACTTGTGACAGCTAGCCTGACCATACTACTAGACCGACTTACATGCTTTTGGTACCAATTGAAAGATATTTTCCTTTAGATGTGCAGAAACTCTTTATAAATTAAAATAGGCTAAAAAATAAGCACACAAAATGAATTTGAAATTAAAATAAATACAAGCTGTTTGGCCCGTCCTACGTACGGGAATCAAGTAGTCCATTAAAACTGTATATGATTCAGAACAGCTAGTTTACAACTTGGTGGGTGATTCACACACACTGGCTTTGAGTACAGTAGCTACATACCACCTTCCACTGCATAGGCCTACTATCACTTACCGTACCTTATTTTACCACCTTGGCCACTGAAACCTCTAAAATGATCCTGGCCTCCCGTTCTCTTCTATCCCCTGCCATTTCTAAGGAAGATACCAGTCTGAAGATGTCTTTCATTACTTGGTCTTCCAAGTGGTCGTCTACCTTGTAGTACTCCTTGGAATACACTTTTAAAAGTTGAAGTATCTTCTCTCCGCCATGCAAAGCCTGCCCAGCCCATCCGAGATCTGAGCCTTTTAGAATGTACCCCTTTATCGAGTTTCTGAATCATACAGTACTACTGGGATGGTTATGATATGGTATGAATCGATTTTGGTTTCTACTGACACCCTGCAGCTAACTGATCAGTTTTCTGGAGACCTAATACACCGGTTGACATTTTCATGTGTACTGTATGCAGTCATACTTATATTCAAAAATCTAGAAAAAGATGTATCAACACGTAAACCACTTATATCTTAAAGGATTAAGCACTTATACTTAGACGGATTGCATTTATGACAAAACTTGATTATACGTTTAAAATGTTTAGTTCAAAATTACACAATCTCCTGATAACATAGATCTTTTACGGTAGGTAATAAACTGCATTTTAAAGTGAAATAGTGTGTAGGCAAACTCTTGATCAATATTTTTGTATACAAACAACTTGTAACATAAACATTTCAATGACAGTTAGAAACCAGCTGTTAGTTAAACCACCACTAAAATGACTTAAACTCGTCCGTCGGCTGCTAGACTTTTTGAAAATTAAAACTTAATTTCTAAAAAACTGGGGACCGAAACTAAAATTATGGCTTCGACATTCCCTAGTTCTCAAAATTATCTTTCTTTTAACACAAAAATCATGAAAATCCGTCAAGTGGTTGATTCAGAATCGTGAAATAAAAAAACCCTGTTTTGTTTTAATATTATAGATAGATTAACATTGACATTGGTCTTATGGGCTGCCATGCTGAGTGACAAAATAACAACAAAATAAAAACAGAAAATTAAAAAAAAATGGAAGAAATTCCAATCACATGTTTTGTTTACAGTGTGGGGTAAAAATAGAGAACAATACATACTTTTGGTTGAGTTTTCGACCATGGGGGTGAGCTCTCGTTAACTTAAAAAACTATTCTTACAACAGGATTTAAATTAAATACAGCAAGGAGCAAGCGTTTTGTAACTAGTATTTTTACACCTATGGAGACTGATAGAGACAGCACGTCTGCATGTTCGCCCTTCACCCGCCTGCCTCATCATAGTGATAGTGCCTACTTGCCGTTGCCACTAGCGACCAGTGTTAGGCTAGACTAGCGCCGCTAGTTGCTCCAATGCTTACTTGACCTTGACACGCTCGCGCTGTGCGCTGTGTAGTTGACAATTGTTGAATTTTGGATTTGAGTGAGTGTTGTGATGTTGTCAAGTCAAGCAGTGTTTGTAGCCATGGCGTATCCAGGGGGGGTTTAGGGGTTTAAACACCCCGACTTAAAACATAATTTTTACAATAAAAAATGTTTTTCCACAGTCAACAAATTACTGTTATTTGTCCCTGAATAGCTTAAAAACGTGAGACCCCCCAGCAAAGTACACACTTAAGAAGCCCCCCCCCCCCCCCAAATCAAAAGTCTGTGTGCGCCCCTGAGCTTTGTTACTGACTAGGTGTTTCTTTAGCCAGGACCATTTATTAAAAGCCTGATCAAGGTCAACTGGGTCTAGTTTCGAACCATCATAAAGCTACCAACTTTTCTCAAGATTAAACCGGAGCCCTTTTGATTACTATAACCATTGACTATTGGATACTGAAGTTGTATCAATAATATAACCAAAGCTATAGCCTAACCACTTACCAAACCGGTACCCAAGATGAATGTAAACTGTTTGCTGTATACTATATAAAGTTTAAAGATTATGTAAATCATTGGACAGAATGCATGTCTTTATGCGTTTTTATCCAATGACGTGCATAGACACATTTTCTGAAGTTTTTGTGATCAACATGATAACAAAAAAATTAAATATACATTTTTTTTAGGGTGTGTAAACTTTGTGATGTGTCTGATGATGGCAGCATAGCTGGCGAAAGTCCTCATGAAATTAAAAATTCATTAAATATTGGTGATGTTTTTATTTTAATTTGTATTCATTCCAATTTTACCAGTTCTTCTTGAAAAGAAGTTGGATTTATTTATTGGAATGAGTAATTTTCTATTTAAGTTTGGCTAAAATCACTATTCAGGTTTTGGATATCTTTACAGATGATGTCATCGGCAAACTGCTTGACAAAATGATCCAGATCTTACCTCCTGAAGAGAGAAATATTTTTGGTAAGTATCTTAAATGATATATTCAGCACTGATGCTGTAGATTTTATTTAAAGTTAAATAAGGCCCCTGTTACACGAGGTAGCCTGGCGACGTCGCCAGCGACCAAACTGGCTACTCAGCTTGTCATGGGGCATTGATTCTTATGGATGTTATTACACGAGGGTAGCCAGCGACGCAGCCACACTTTGGCGACCGACTGGCTACCGAGCCCCGTCGCCACTGCGGTAGCCACTGGCTACCCATATTGGCGACGCTGCGTTGTAGCATATGGAGCTTATTACACTAGGTCGCCAGTATCACGTCGCCACTCGGTTAGTTCATATCACGGGGGTACTTGCACACTGTTGTGTTGCGTTCTGTTGTGTTGTGAGTGTGTGAATTGTTCACTTCAGTTGATAAAATGTCTATATCATCCTTTATGACTCGAAGAAACTGGATTGTGACATACGAAAATAATTGAAACATTTTTTATTGTCCGCTCAGAGCTCATCAAAAAGGGTGTAATATAACCCTTTTGATTCTCTTGCACTAAGCATTGGATGAACGTACATTTTTCTCTTCCTTTGCCTCCTTTTCTTCAGAAGTAACAGAAGGAGAAGATACTTATAATCACTCATTATTCACTGTAAACACCGCTCATAACAAGTACAAGTGCAAGACAAGCACTCACAACAACGGCGCCACGGCGGTAAAATTCTGGCTACTCAACTGGTTATAGGTTTGGTGGCCAGTGCGTCGCCAGCTACTGCCGCTGGCGACGTCGCCAGGCTACCTCGTGTAATAGGGGCCTAAATGATAAAAATCATCAAAACCGTTACCTTTAAGAGGAATGATTTAGTGTTTTCTAGGGCAAAGATTTGTTTCAGACATGTTTAGAATATTTGTAAACAAAAAATGGTAATATTCTCTCTTAAATATGATGATAAAAGAAAAGAAAGAGTCAATGATTGTGTTTTATTTGTCTGCTCAGTAGTAATTGTTATAACCACAGCCTCCTCTAACACAAGGCCACATTTTTGATGTGTGGCAATGTCACAACGTCATGCCTATTACCATGGTAATAACAGAAATGACAAATGTGTAAACATAAACATTTCCTAAGCTGTCCATAAGTGCAACAGCTGCAACCGAAACGGTTTGACGGGACAACAGTGTTGCCACTTTTGCCTCACTGCGGCCTTGTGTTAGAGCAGACTATGATAAAACTAATTGCTGCTAATCAATTTCAAAATATACTATTAATGTTTGAATGCAAACTAATACTCACTACTCTAGGGTCCAGAACGGGTAAACTATGTCTTGAAATACCTGGATGTCAGCTCGAACTGCGGTCTGCTTCAATGTCTGTGGTAGCGAAAGCGACCAATCCTTTAGGTTCAAAGGTTGTGTTTAGAGTCTGTCAATGATAATTAAAAAAATAGTATGCTTTATAAGAGTAATCAAAGGAAAGGTAATTTTCTTATCTGATTTAAAGTCAAATAATGTTCTTTGGTCCTGAAAATGTTTGACTGCAGTGTTACTTTTACAGTGAGTAACAGTGCCAAATCAAAAGTAAGAGTTTCATTACACTCATACTAAACAAATATGATATTTTATCATCTATATTCGTTTATATCCTGATAAACCGAAAATATGATTGCTGAGTCTTCATTCAAATCAAAGTTTGCTTCACAAGAATTTATATAAACTTTCTGAGCTCTATCGCATAAACTATTAAAACTGTGTGTCTTTGCAGGCACAACGGATGACAAGAACATCGAAGAAATAATCGAGGAAGCGAACGAACTTATACGTGCGACAACGCCTCTTTTCTCATCGACTGACAGTGGTGACCAAAGTAATAAAACATCAAAAGCTCTTTCAAAAATATCAAAAGCGAATGAAACATCCAAAAAGAATGACAGTATTGAAGAAGATGTTACTCCTAAAAAGAGTGAAAGTGGAACAAGCAGCTTGTGTTCTTCTTTAGAAAGTATTATTGTGAAGGACAGTCTCAGTCATGAGTTGGCAGATAAAGTGAAAGGTAACCAAATGCCAGGATCAGGAAGTTCTGAGAAGCTGGATAAAGACATCGAAGAATTATTTTATATGGAAGAGTCTAATAAAAATTTGTTTGAGAAACAGCTTGGAGCCAAAGAAATGGCATCTGCTCGTAATGATGAAGATGTTTTATTGGGTGAGTTTAGCAAGAGAGAAGTTAATGAAACAAATATGAACATCAGAGCCGTCTCAATGATAAAAGTAAAAGATAAACAGCAGCCTAACTCAGACAACAACGTAATCGAATCAGTTCCTAGTTCCACTTTCCAAGAAAAATTAGAAAATTGCAAACAAGTTCCTCTTCATATTTCACCCAAGCACAATAAAGGTAATGTTTACATATGTGTTCAGTTTGTTTTGCCATACATGTTTTTAGTATACAGTAAAACTCTAATTATCCAAATCAATTGGGGCCTTGCAACTTTCGGTAAGTAAAAAACTTGGATAATTGGCTCTTTACCAAAATTTTGGGGTATTTGACTTTTTAGCTATTGAAAAATTCATGCCCCGATTAAGGAGGACAATGATGACGTTTCTGTGACCAAGGGAGACTATGATGAAGACTACTCGACCACAAGAGATTTTCAGGGTTTGCTGCGATCTTAGCTTCTGCCTTTTTTAATAATGATTCCTCATACTGTAGCCATACAAAAAAAAAATATTTTTGTATGCGATTCGGATGGTTGGAGTTAGAACTACTCTATATTGTAAACTGTAGTTAAAAAGTATTTTGTTATCTTTCTAATTTTTGTAGATAAACACACCATACACTAATCCTTTTAATATTTTCCCAAACATCAAGTCAATCAATTGAGTCATTTTATTCTGAATTCAATTGATGACCTGTCTCTATTCAGATAGTTTATGATATTTATATTTGTACTTTGCTTCATATTAATGAACTATTCAGTATAATTAAAAAGATCTCCAAGAATCCAACTTTTAACTATGCTTTGCTGTTTCCAGACCCGGATGCTCAACTTGAAGCTCTCCGACAACAATACACCACTGAGATTCAAGAGCTCAAATTGACGCATAACAAAGAAATATATGGGTTGACCAAGCAGATAACCAGTCTCAATGATAAGGTAATTAAGGTTTGCGTGCAGCACGAACACTCATGTTTACTGTTAAATTACAAATCCCAAAAAGTTGTAGCCTAATTTACAATTTTCCTGTAGTTATTCTAGACCTTCGTCTCTACATATAAGTCATAATCTCCCAAAGAACTGTTTAACAAGGTCAGTTAACGTGATCTGTTTTTCTAACACTGTGTTTGTATAATTTAATTGCAAAATTCTTAATTACAGAATATTTTTTCATGGTTTACATCGTTCTGCATACTCCTACCATTCTTCACCCTCTATTTAATTGCAATTGGTTTGAAAACTCTTGGTGTAAAATCTTATTTTCTAAAAAATGAACAATTACATGCTATAATGTTTTTGAACATTATCTTTTAAAAGGCAAACAAATTTAGCATAAGCCCTAACATGAAACTGGTTTTAACGTTTTAAGCTTTGAGACAAAAAAATGAGTTGTGAGAAATTTTGTTTTAGCATAATTAAGTGGTATGAAATCTTTAATTATCAGGTTTGTTATTATAAATAAATCTCAAAATCTGTAAAAAATTCTACAATGTTTTATTTTTATTAAACTTTTAAAACAAACATATAAAATTGGTAGCGCCCTCACAATCGTCGTATGTTTAAACAGATCTTTGAACTACAGAAGCAGTCACAAATTGTACAAAGTCCTGATTTGAAAATCCAAGAAATCGAACGACTGGAGAACGAAATAAAATGCCAGGAACAACTTCTTGCTGGTTACGAACGAGAAAACAAGAAGCTTTGCAAAGAAATATCAAACCTTAAGGTAAGGTTTTGTATAATAATCATTTACTTATTTGGTGATGTCAGTTGAAATTTTGTCATGATTTTTTTATAAATGCCGGGAAAGCAAAGTTGGAAAAATCGGTGTGGGAAAAATCAGGAAGCTTTTTAAGGTCCCCTGGTTTCTGCAGTTTTGAAACTGCCTCTTTACAATACAATGTTATTTATTTTTGACCAATCTATGCAGTACAAGTATGTATGCAGGTTTTCTCTATTGGTATTTAATCTATACTTATTTAATACGCAAGCATGTTTTTTGTGACAATTACTCCTCCGAAACTACTGAACCGATTGACATGTTTTTGATGTAATTGGTAAGAGCGTAACGTGAAGTTGTGCAGGAAACTTTCTTTTTAGGGAAATAATCAGAGAGTGAGGCCCTGGGGCCCTTTAAAGTTTCGTATTTCTCCATAAGATTAACATGGGAAACAAAAATTGTTATGCAACTCCAGCTGTTGTCAGAAATTAAGTGAGAAGAAGAATATATGTTAATTTTAAGCAGTCAATAAGTTTGCTTCTTTTACAGTTTGCTACAAACATTTACTGACTTGGTTGAAATGAAATATTTACTCTATTTTAATTTGGGTTGGCGTAAATATTACAATGGAAAATACCCCCGCCGCAGCAAACCTGCAGACTAAGCGAATTTCAACTTGTCTGATTACATTTTTACTAAAATGTTTCCATAAATAAGACTTATTATTCTCTATTTAAATAACATTAGATTTAACAAGTGCTTAGGTTTGCTGCTACGGGGAAGGTAAAAAGTGTTTTTTGACCATACATCAATAGTATAGGATGAAATAAATAAATTTGCCAAATTTTATCAATATATACCCATAAACAAGTAAACTACAACAATTTTCATTTTCTCCATAAGAATAACATGGGAATTTTTAATTACACTATTTTTGAATTTTCTCCGTGACCGTTAGGCATACAACAGCGCTTCAATATACTAAATTATTTCTTTTTTTAAGCTCTACAAAATGTTTTAGAAAGAAATCGCAAAATTTTTTGTTTTTAGGTTCAAAAATGGGAAAAACCCATTTTTACTCCATAAAACCCCCCATAATCCCCCGTTCCCATGGTCCGATTATGCTGGATCGCGAACTCGTTCGAATAAACGTAGGTTTACACGTTTGTACCAAATTTAATCAAAATCGGATCATTTTTGCTCGAGTTATCGCGCTAACGGACACATATATATATATAAATCTATATAAATAAAATTAGAGTTTTGTCTGTACATTGCTCAGAATTATATACTTTTAGGTTATTTTTACGTTTTATACATTAAAGAAGCAGAAACGAGTCTTATCTCAATTTCTGTCTGTCTGTCTGTCCCTTTGTCTGTAACACTTAAGATGGCATTTTACGCAATCTTCTCCGTGAAAACCAGAGTACATATCAAGATCCAAGTCATTTTAATGTATTCACTGGATTGGCGAGAGTGTCTTTAGTGATTTAAATATAGCCTCACTACTTTGTAAATAAAATTACGGACGTTTAAAAATGCAGTTTTGTGCGATTTTTGTCAAATTTTCGTTCAATTTTTATCACATAATCGTCTATGAAATAACGAACAGCTGTTCGGATCAAGATTATTTTTTCTAGCTGTCAATGACATGTTTACAAATGTTGTTTACAAATACCGCAACTATTTCGAATCACGTTTTGAAAGCAAATCCCAACCAAGTGAGATTAAAAACGTTTTTCTTACATAACGGATTTAATTAATCGCAAGTGCAATAATATAGTCTAATAGTGTAACCGTAAATGAAATTAAATAACTAGACATCGTCTTAATCGGAACCAGAAATTCTTTGAGTATAAAATGTTTCTTGAGTTTTGACAACCAGAAAGAAGAAGACCTTGAATCAGTGTTGTATAGGGCTGTGACACTGAAATGATCGTCGCCAATAGCTTACAAAAAAGGTTTCCACTCATTGACGGCGCTTCAATGGCGGTTGTGTAAAGTGTAAAGTAAAAAATCACAACTGCAGTGGGTGATTGTAACAGAGGTTTAACAGAGGAAGTGCTAAACTCGCTTTTCCAATGTGTCACTTTCTGTTTCTACTCACCGTGTGATGCAATCGCTGGACCATACAGCCAATAGGCCCATAGCTCATATCTTGGATACGTAAGCCTACATATTTATTCATAACAACCTTTTTGACGACGATCCTTGATACCGGTAATTTTCCATAGAATACATGGCCTACCTACTTAAGAAATATAATTACAAATGACCAAAACCCCAACATTGTGTGATTTTCGTCACATTTCCTTCTAATGTTAATAGACAGAGTACTAATCATTGTTTAGAGAATGCGTAATCTATTAAATAACAAAAAGTTGTTTGGGTAAGGTTGCTTTTTTTCAAACTGACACCGATAAGTTTACGCTATAACTTTTTACGAGAAAATCCAAAAGCAAGAGATCAATAACCTCGGGACTAGATATTAATGTATTTAATTGGTCCGATTTACTATAGTTCTTAGGTAGGTTCTTACGTAGGTACTGGTTCTTTTCCTTAGAACCGGTAGTTTACAAATTTGATATCGTTGGTGTTGCACCTTATTTATTAGAGCCGCCCGTATTCAATTTAAGTGATGTCTTAACTCTGTATAAGTTTTGCTTTTTCTGTCTGGATTCCAAATCTTAGCTTACCCGGTATGCTAAGAAAATGATAACCTATTTGAGTAAAACATTTGTTGGGCAAACCATCATGAATTGTTTACGCCTTTATATTGTTTATGTATCAATAGTTCGTGGCCTTTTTTGGATTGTTGTGTGTATGTCTGTTGGTAACGCATTAATGTCCTTATTTCTCAGTGTTTCACAGAATGGACAAGAGCACCTTTGATACTGAAAATGTCAACCGGAATAAAGTGTTAAATGGTGAGGTTGAGGTAGTACTTTAAATACGTTTAAGTTAACCGATGTGGAAAGTAACTTTCAATTATAGGCCTACTTTAGGGCTACGCTTCATGGATCTATAAAACATTTTTTAGTTTAATCATTGGACATATGGACCATAACGATCCGGGTGACGTTTAATTGCGAAGCATTTATTTTGGCTTGAACTGTCAGATACAGTATTTGCAAAGGTTTATATATAATAGTTTTGCCAGCATATCTGCAAATATGCAAACTAACTGCTGTTCTTAATCTTAATATAAGAAGGTTTCAACTGACTACTATAAGATCCCCGTGCGTAGAACGGGCACACAGCTAGTATATATATAAATATGAAAAATAGAAAAATAGGGCTACTATATATAAATAAAGATTAAACATTAATAAACTTAGTACCCAAGTAAAATTATTTATTAAAATATTTACTGACTATAGTTTCGGCTCTAAGGCCATTTTCAAAGTAAACAAAAATCAAAATAAGATATGTAAATAAATAAATAACATATGATTTTATAAAACTTTTCTAACTTGTAACATAATTTTGTCTTCATTGATTAATTTATATACTATATGATGTGTTGTACTTATTTTCATTAATATTTTCTCAATTTTGCTATTTTTTCATGTATCGGATTATTTAATTTTGGAATCATTGTATTTAAAATGTTTGATTTGTTATTTTGTAGTTCATATAAATATTAATTTCTTCTTTTACATTCAATTTTTCTCTGTCTTTTTCAATTTCTAATATTGTTAAGTTTTCTTCGATCTTAGTAAACTTATGTTTGGATTTTAGTAAATGATCTGCAAAATTTGATTTCATTGATGTTTTGTTCTTCGATTTATATGCCTGTATATGTTCGTTGAATCTAACTTTAAAATTTTGATAGGTTTGTCCAATGTAGTAGTTGTCACAGTCAGAACATTTAATTTTGTAGATACCAGATGCATTGTATATATTTGCTGTATTGTTTGTTATAGGATTGTTGGTTTTATTTTGTATGATTTTAAAAATGTTATTTTTTGTTCTGTAGCTAAATTTTACTGGGGTATGTTTGAATGTTTTCCTGATTGCTTTGTTATTTCACCAGTTCTAGTTACATTAGGCCTGTCCTATATGTTTTGAAGTAAATATTTTAATAAATAATTTTACTTGGGTACTAAGTTTATTAATGTTTAATCTTTATTTATATATAAATATATATATATATATATATGAATTTGAACGGATGGTGTTTTTTGGCCTCTAGGGACCTCAAAATGAAAAATTAGATCGGTCTCGGGTCCAGGTCTTACCATGAGTACTACGGTAATAGCTTATTCCCTATATGGGAAATTCGCTAAAAGCGAGAGAGCCTGGATAAATTGATATATTCTGTTATGTACATCCTGAATATTTCCATAACCTTTGGGTCGAATATTTTAAAGTCATCAGAAATTATGAACGTTATTCCTTTTAAAATAACGCCTCTAATACTTAGAAATTGCTCGAATTCGAGCAACAGGGACACTAGTTATTGTAAAAAACAATAACAGAACCTTAAATCCTTTGCGAGTTCTAGGTATAAAAAGTAAACAAAAATTAGAAAAATATAATTTATTCTTTAAATAACATAATAATTAGTCAATAAATAACACAATTGAGTTTAACCACGTCATGGTACATTCCTGGCCTCCTCAGCCATCACTTTGACTGCGGCTAGAGCTTCCTTGGCTACAGGCTGTATGTAGCTTGCCGGTAGAATGAATCCGTAGCGGCCCGTGTCTGGCAGCTCAATGGTGTATGTGTACTTGATACCAGCCACTCCCTGCGAATCAGAAAATGAATTGTGTTTGAACAAATACTGTTTGAAATATACCTTGTTAACAATTTATCTCCCTTGGCCTAAATTTAAAATTATTAATTTGCATCGCTCTGTACAGAAAGTAGCTATTTAATTTATTTCCCAAGTTCTAATTTAGAGCTTGAAAATTTAAATTATAAAAGCTAATTCTCATTTTGCCCACTACGCATGCAAGTGTTTTGTTTAAAATATATTTCTATTATTGAAGTCAGCTGTT